GGTGAGCAAACGGAAAAGCAAACAGCTCCGTTCACTTGTTTGTGTGTGCACAAAAACCAACGAGGACAAATGACAGATTCTTTCAGAAGATTTTATCTGATTCGTCCCATCCCCCGAAATCCTGCTATTAACCAGTGCCCGTTCCGATTACTAGCTTAAAAAGGCAAGCACTGAGACTTACGTAAGTTCTGTTGTTCCGTATTTCACCAAATTTCTCTCAAACTATGAACCCGTTGCAGAAAATCTGAGTAAGGTGCTAATCTAAACAGATGATTAATACCATCGGCGGGGCCTTTAAATCTGACTGTGCTAGTCTTTTTTTGTCGCTGGGACTTTGGCATTGTCCATCGCATATTACTTCGCATCAATAGCTGTGTTCTCAGTGATCACACACAACGCGCTTAGTTTAGTTTCCATTCGAGTATCCGTGAAAAATATCAGCGATTCGTTTTCACGTGCGCTCTTCTCGTATTATGGGAAATAGAGTTAAAAGGATCACCAGAAATGCAATTGGCAAACGGAGAGTGCATTATACTGACTGAAAAGTTGAACCCGAGCACAGAACCATTGGTTTCCTTAACATGTTGTCATGGAATTTCTGTTCAATTCAGTTAAAGTTATCCGACATCGACCTGCTGATTCACTTCTGTTTTCATCGTTGCTGTTGACTTCAACAGATCGGACGTGAGTTTTTACACGCCTATGTCTCTTCAGAAAATTGCTAGTATTTCCAATAGACCGTTCTTTCGTTTTTGAAGCATATTTTTTCGTGCCTTCAAACGTTCACTAGTAGGTAATTCTAATGTTTGTCTGATTAAAGCTTTACCCACGATATACGGTCAATGCAATCAACAAATCCGCGTGAAGAACAGTGCACATCAGATACGTAACCGTTAGAATCATCAACCGAATTTGATGAAAATAGAATCCAAAATTGCCTGTTTGGAATTTCAACTATATGTCGATCCTGATATCTCAATTTTCTGTGAAAACCCCACTGATGATCTCAATTTTTCTTTTGTTGTGTGCTGTCCTAAACCAAAACCAGTTCGTCTCTAACAGACTGAAATGGTTACGTAGGCTGAAAGACAAGGCCTATCGATCAAGAGATAAGTTGACTGACAAATGTATTAACTTTCCTATCAGAAGCGAGATAGCCTATCTCGAGAAATTGTGTCTTGACAACGTGTTAGGGGACAAATCCTGTCGTCAGCTATAGAACGGACTGAAGTTGCTTTGCGGTCGTTCACCTCGACCTATTAGTGTCTCATGCAGCATCAATGAGCTCAACATATCTTTTTCTACAGTGAACAATATTGCGCAAGCATTTCCAAGACCATTTGAACTGTATTCTCCTGCGACTGCTAAAACGGGGCAAATTTTAAAGGAGCTGAATGCAATCAACAGTGGCGAATCCTCCGGTTCTGACGGGTTGTATCCAGTGATCTCAAGAACGTATACTGACCACCTCGCACAAATGGTTTCACTCATCTTAAATACATATCTGTCCGAAGGTATAATATACGATACATGGCGTGAAGTTTGCATTACTCCAATACCCAAGAAAGAAAAGTGTAAGTTCCAGCCTATTGCTTCATCTGCAATACTACTTAAGTCTTTTAACAAATTATTATTAAATAGCTATTCTCCCCTCTTTTTTTTGTGATTCCAATCAGTTTGTTTATTGCAAGCGTCGTTCTAATTTAAATGGGGTTGCTTAACTTACACTATAGACCAAAAACAAAATTGTCCATGTTGCTTTTTTGGATTACACAAAAGCTTTCAACCATATTGACACCGTTGCAGCAACGAAATCTCGCACCATATCCGTTGGATTTAATACATGACCATTTTACTGACCGACGCCGGCTCACTTGTCTTAATGGTATTAGGTCCTTCATTAAAAAAGGTAAACGAATGTGTATTGCAGAGTGCGATTTTATCCTCTTTTCTTTTCTCCGTTTTCATTCAAAATCTATCAACCACTGAAAACGTTTCCAAATTTCAGTATGCCGATGACGTAGTGGTCGATAGTGCATCTGACAACAACTCTTAAGTCCGTCACCAGTTTCATTTCTGAATGGCCCGATGGTGGTAGCCTTTCCTAAAAACCTGAAAATGCATTGAAGATTTGTTTTCTAATAATCGTGCGACCATTTACACATTCCGGATTACCTGTACCCAACATCCTGGTTAACAACTCAAAGTCCACAACACTCCAAATACAGTCACTCACCCGCTATGTCACATCCCTTGGGGATTAAAAAAGTGAGTAAATTCCGGAAACTGCGACGTACCATTTTGGTCATTCGTAGAATGTAAAATCGTTTGGTATAATTTCGATAGAAAAACAGGATAGATGAAAGCTAGGGCAACTTCGTTACTTGTTTCTGTTAGTCACTATTACCTAATGTTTAGTTGGAGCAAAATTGAAATACAAAGTTGCAAGCCGTCTTTGTGCATGGGAGAAATTCAAATTCGGAACTGAGTACATGGCGTCCACCAGGATCAACAACGGTTTGGACTACAATGACGTCACAAAAATAGGGTATATAGTTTACAATTCAGACTAAATCGTACGTATGCGATGTAATGCTGCATTTTTTTAGTGAAACCGTATTCAAGAGGAACCACGTTATGAAAAACAAGTGATGTACCTGTTTCTGCTGTAGTACGTGGACTTCTCTTCTAGGCTTCCACGGTTCACGATTCAATCTACGCAAGCTTTTCTGGTGAAAATGTGGATCACAGTATCTAAACACATTCATTCGTTTGTTCGTCTTTGTTGTAGCTTTTGCAAACTGAAACCGATCGATAGATTCGTTATGACTAGTGCTGATCAACAGCAGTGTCGCCGTAATTACTCATAACCTTAGTAACTAATTAAGCACAACACGTGATGTTATTGTGTGATTCACAAAGAAGAAGTGCATTGCTGAAACGGAAAGGAGCTAATTAAGCCCATTTGACCCAGGTCGTAACTGTCACGGTGACCTTTGACTTGTCCAATTTCGTCAGTGTTTTAGCAACAACACTGATTATCAAGCATCCATTCAAACAGGCGCGTTATTGCAACAGCGGTTATCGATCTGAGATATTTTATTTTACCAAACACCTAGAAGTTCAGAAGCTGTCGAAACGTATCAGGAACATTTGAGCTCGATTGAGCAAGAAACTGGACTCTCGTTGGCACCAGCCGTTGGTCCTGTGACCTGACCTTGCCTTACCAGTCAATCGTGAGTGTTTTTCATCTGTTTGCGCAGTTAAGTTAATGCGATAAACCCCATGGATCAAATGACTTTCTGATCAATTAGCGAAACCAATCTTACTGCCGCAAACATAACCCGGACTTTGGTGACCACTGAGACAAAAATTTCCACGAAAGTAAGATAAACATTCTAGCATTGCGCAGTGTCGTATTTGTAGCAAATTCGTAAATCATCGTCCTTAGCTGGGATCTCCGTTGGAACTTAAGAAACATATTGTATTCTGACCGGATGCGCGGTCATAAGAGTATTTATTAAGGCTTTTATGTTGGATTGTTAATCTTGTAACAAAGATGAAACGTATTCCGTAAATACTTTCAGAAAGAACGTTTGAAAGATCAAATAACAACCTGGTCCATTGGATATAACAGCGAAACACAGTTTGGAAGCAGCCATACTAAATTAACGGTGATATGACATGACTGGTAAAGATGAGAGCCCCTGAGAAACCACCTCGAATTTGACTTCGGACAGCTAACTTTGAAATAACACAGAAATCATCCATGCGTATTTTAAGAGTTATAATTGCATGGCAGTATTTTGCCATCTATACCACAGATACATAGTGGAGTTTGGAATTTCCCCTAACTAGTGGTGATAACCTTTCTCCAGTCTTGCCCCTACAGAGCAGGATTTATTGGCTGCAGTAACTGTTTGTCTTTTGAAACTGACTATTCTTCCTGAGAGCCGTTACATCGACACTGGAAATATAATACTCAGTATATGCATGGGTCAACTGCGGTCCCCGCTCGAAAACTGTCCACTGCGTCCCTGTTACCGTCAAGCTTCCCATGAAAACCTAGAAAGTAATACACCAAATAAGTTGCTTGCCTCGTGCTTTGCAGAAGTGAATACCCCACTTCTCTGAACAAGTATGAAACCAACATTTGGAAGCCTTGAAGTCACTATGATGCATTTTCGTTCCAGTTGAATAGCATTGCAGCCGGTACTCTCCGCCATGGGAAACGCACTGTGATTTTTCCTCACAACGGTGAATCATTTTTCATGAAATGCACCAGCGTTGATAAATTCTCGAGGTCAAATAACTATAACAAAGGGGTGGGGTAGGGACACTTTTGTCTCTAGTTCTCTTCTTTCGATAATAACGGGTTACATAAGCGGTGATAAATGATTTGGGCCATCACACCGCTCATGCGTGACGTTGTCCGCTTTAGGCCAGGAAAGTTAAAGTGCTTGAACACGTGTTTTTTAAGCACACAATTCTGGCTTACACCTTGGATGTTGTTGGCGTTTTAGTTCGAGCACCGGTGGATTTGTGTTGTGGGACGTGATAACTGTTGAGGAAAGCCGAATTAGCATCGACTCTATGTTCGGTTACGACAGATGAACTGGAAATAGCACAACCCATCTTTGCGAGCTTGTTGCAGGCCACAGACCCTGCC